CCCTTTTCTCTTCTGAATTCTGGACTGAGTGGGCAGAGGCTGAAGGTAAATAATCCTGTTTGCTGCAGCCACAGGCTTTGTACTCCGCCTCTCTGGTCTTCCTTTAGCAATAGCTCCACCCCCTCTCCCTGTGGGATCATGTCTCTGGCATATATTGGGTTGTCAGAAAAATCATGATGCATTTTTGCAATGAAAAACAGAGAAAAAAATACGTCATGACTTTTCCGATAACCCAATAGTTTCAGAGAAGGGGAACACAGGAGGAGATCATTATCCCTGAAGACCTATTCAGAGGCGGTACCTTCATGGTTTATCTCATTTGAGCTACTCAACATGTTGGATTGAGATGGGGACTGAGGCTCAGAGAGGTTCAGTCACTTGCTTGTCACCACACAGCAAACACAAGTGGCCAAAGTGACATCCTCGCCCAGGTCTCTGAGACTCTGAAGCCCACACTGCTTTCTCTCCACCAGCAGCCCTTTCCAAGCTTATTTATTATAGAAGCAACTACCAGCTGTCAACCTGGCAGGGCTGAAAAGAACATTCTACCTTCTTTTGGTCTTTGCACCAACCCTTATCAGGGCCCCCTAGCTACAGCTTTTCTTTTTGTGCCCTCTCTCTTTTTAAAAAAATTGTATTGGGGAACAGCCATGGTCATTGGCTACACGTGGCTTTCATGCTACAATGGCACAGTTGACTCTTTTAGGGAGGGCGCAGCTCACAGTGGCCCATGCGGGGATCGAACCGGCAACCTTGGTGTTATCAGCACCACGCTTTAACCAACTGAGCTAACCAGCCACCCCCTTTGTGCCCTCTGTTGATGAGCCCTTACTGCAACCAAGTATCACGCAGAGAAAGCCTGCCCACGACGGGCCATCGAGAGGCCAGGAGCAGTGCTGTGGTCTCTCTCAGCCCTGGGCTCCTTCCTGGCATTGTACTTGGGAGGCAGACAAGGGGTATAAGGGGAAAGGAAGCCCTGCTTTCTAGTCCCTTCTGAGTGGTGTCCACTCACCAAGAGGAGGGGGAGGATGTGTTCCGATTAGACAGCACCTCACACCCATCACTGGCTCCCCCATCTAAGAGCCAAGCAAACCTGGCTACTCACCCCCGCTCTGCCACTTGCTTGCTGTGTGACCTTGGGCAAGCCCCTTCACCTCTCTGTGCCCAGTTTCTTTACTGGGGAGCGGGAGCGGGGAGGGAAATGGCAACAATTACAGCACTTACCTCAAAAAGTGAGAAGGAGCATAGGGCATAACCATGTACGTTGGGTGCCCAGAAGAGCACCTAACCCTGGGAGATCACAAAGCTGCAGAGGCAGAGGCCAGAATGCAGGCCATGTGGGGGGCAGTGGGAGGTGATCAGGGTACCACCTTGCCCTCTGGGACTTAAAGGAGCTTTGCTTTCCAGAGTTGAGAGCAGAGCGATGCCACCCCTCCTGGTTCTGGGGTTCTTGGTGGCAGCGCTCTGCGCCACTGCCCACAGCCTCCCGGGGAGCGCGCTCCACCAGGAGAATGTGACCCAGGAGGACCAACTCAACAGGACGGCTGTGGACAACCTCAGATTAGCCTCTAGCAACACGGACTTTGCCTTCAGCCTCTATAAGCAGTTGGCTTCGAGGAACCCCAATAAGAATATCGTCTTCTCCCCACTGAGCATCTCCATGGCCTTGGCCTTCCTGTCCCTGGGGGCCTGCGGCACCACCCTGACGGAGATCCTTGAAGGCCTCAAGTTCAACCTCACGGAGACCCCCGAGACAGAAATCCACCAGGGCTTGCAGCACATCCTGCGTTCCCTCAGCCAACCCAGCAGCCTGCTGAAGCTGAGCATGGGCAACGCCATGTTCGTCAGCGAGCAGCTGGAGCTGCTGGACAAGTTCAGGGAAGATGCCAAGGCCCTGTACGCCTCTGAGGCTTTTACCACCAACTTCCGGGAGTCCTCTGCTGCCGAGAAGCTCATCAATGACTACGTGAAGGAGAAAACTCAGGGTAACATTGCAGATTTGGTCACAGATCTTGACCCAAACACAGCGATGATCCTAGTGAATTACATCTTCTTTAAAGGTGAGTGCCCAGCTTGGGGTCTGGAAGGAACCAGACT